AAACGACTCGACGGCACATAACAACAACATATATATGCAATAGGAGAAATAAACTTTGAAGAGGATGTTGCTTAACAGCTTGTCATTCATGAAACCTGAGATTTGCGATAAAAACCATTCCAACATTATTTTTCCTCACAGTGAGAATTATACTTGGTTCTCAAAACTTGGTCTGTAGAAGTTTTCAAGGTTTCTTCATAAGAGTGAATACACCCTTTTGCTCAAGATAACAATTTTTCTCTACCACCCCGTCCCCTTCCAGGGATTCATAACTCATGAACAACACAAGGGTCCTTTCTATTAATTGGGGTGAATATTTTAAGTGAGAAAAGATGGGGAATAGGTGGCCTCTCCTTAGGTAGTCCTTGGACTTTGGGGTCAGGGTGAGATGACAGGTGTGAAAAAAAGTCACTTCTTGGGCAAATATGAGCTATACCGGCTGGTTTACGCCCAAGTATAACAGTCCAGAATGACTAATTCAAACAAAATGGAAAAGGAAGAGCCATGACTGTTAGAAAATATTTGTGAGAAGATAATCTTTGATTTTTAAAAATAAAAGGAAACGTGATCTAACTATGCAGTTAAACTGTACGTCAATTTTATATTTTAAATAGAAAAAAAATAATAAATGGGGCCCAAAAGCAAATGCACGCTCCACTGTTGTCCAGCCCTATTCATCCAGTGCGTGCGTTGGACCCTATGCATTGAGCTCTGCAGACGTTAATGCCACAGGTCTGGGTTGGGCCTTCGGCCAGAAAACTCCATAAGGATGATCAGTTCAAGGTGCCAATGACATTTCCAGACGTGTTCTGTGCTTTCAGGGACAGGGTGCCGGACTAGGCGTGTTGGGAGTCCCTATATGATACCTTTGACCCCTTGGACCGCAGTGCGATCCCAATCCCATCATGTCATCTTTTCTCAGTTGCATCCCTTCTCCACCCTTCTCTGTGTCTCCTGTTAAGAGTGGAAGGGAAAACAAACTCCCAAAGCCCACCAAACTGGGTTCATGTTTCCTCCATTGCCACTCTCGAGCATCTCTCCAGACACTGGCAGGCGGCGGGGCCGGTGCGTATGGGGCGGCTGCGGGAACGCGCGTCCTCCAGGCCCTGGCCGCCTGCGCGTCAGCATCCCGACGCACAAGGCCCGCAGCCCTCCGGCTCTCACCGAAAGCCGGATCCAGTTCGCAGGTCTAGCGGCTTGCAGGGGTCCTGCGGGCGGAAGTGAGAACGGAGGCGTGGGAGGAGGCTGCAGGCTGGGGGTTGGGATACCCTGCCTGCCTGACGCCGCCCGGAGCCGGGGACCTGGGACTGCGGCGGCCTTCCGACGCCAGGCACGCGCGAACTGGGCCTTTTTGCGTCGCTGCGGGGGACCATCAAAGCAGACTCGGCTGTGACTTTGGGGGAGATAGGCTGAGCCGCAGCCTGCGGGGCACGGAGGAAGGACTGTCTGGGGAGCTCCGCTGTGACCCAGATTGGCCGTGCGAGCGCCTTGACAGGCGCGGACCGCCCCCTCGCCTCCCTTGGCCCGGGCCGCCATCCCTAGGCGCGCACAACCCGGAACCCCCGCGAGTGCGTGGGGGCGGGGAAGAGAGCGGCAGATCTGGCGGGAAGCCCCTCAGCGCCCGGCCCCCCAGCCATGTCGGCCGAGGAGATGGTGCAGATCCGCCTAGAGGACCGCTGCTACCCGGTGAGCAAGAGGAAGCTCATCGAGCAGAGTGACTACTTCCGCGCCCTCTACCGCTCCGGCATGCGCGAGGCCCTGAGCCAGGAGCCCGGCGGCCCCGAGGTGCAGCAGCTGCGCGGCCTCAGCGCCCCGGGCCTGCGGCTGGTGCTGGACTTCATCAACGCCGGCGGGGCCCGCGAAGGCTGGCTCCTGGGCGCAAGAGGGGAGAAGGACGGAGGGGAGGATGAGGACATGGACGAGGCGAGCCTGCTGTCAGAGCTGGTGGAAGTGGCCTCCTTCCTGCAGGTTACCTCCCTGCTACAGCTGCTCTTGTCCCAGGTGCGGCTCAGCAATTGCCTGGAGATGTACCGTCTGGCGCAGGTGTATGGGCTGTCCGACCTGCAGGAGGCCTGCCTGCGCTTCATGGTCGTCCACTTCCACGAGGTGCTGTGCAAACCCCAGTTCCACCTCCTGGGGTCTCCTGCCCAAACCCCAGGGGACATCAGCCTAAAGCAGAGGCTGAGGGAGGCCCGGATGACTGGCACTCCAGTCCTCGTGGCCCTGGGGGACTTTTTGGGAGGACCTCTGGCCCCCCATCCTTACCAGGGTGAGCCCCCGTCCATGCTCAGGTACGAAGAAATGACTGAACGTTGGTTCCCGCTGGCCAACAACCTTCCTCCCGACCTGGTGAATGTTAGGGGCTATGGGTCTGCTATCTTGGACAACTACCTCTTCATAGTGGGCGGGTACAGGATCACAAGCCAGGAGATCTCTGCTGCTCATTCCTACAACCCAAGCACCAATGAGTGGCTCCAAGTGGCTTCCATGAACCAAAAGAGGTAAGCCCCCCAGAATAGCATTGTGTCGCCACCTAACCCCCCACATCCTTGTTTATGCACTCCACCAGTCCATACTGGGTAGTCAGAGCAGATTGTGCTGAAGTGGAAATGACATCTGTAAGAATGATTCTGGCCAACTTTCTAATGAATTAAGAACTTGCAAGCAAGAAGAGGTCTGGTGAGGTCAACCAGCTTGTAGGTATTGACAGTTTAGACAAAACATCTGCCTTTGTTTCTATCCTTGAGTAAAAAAAAAAAAAAAAAATATGTGGTTTCCTAGAAGGATACTTAATAAGGAAGTTAGTTGCTCTTTAGGGATTTTTTTTGTTGTTGTTGTTCCTTTTTTTTTTTTTTTAAGTTTTTTAGAATCTTGTCCTATTTATAATAGAACCTTTAACTCAAGCTTTGGGGGATTATTTTTTTTTTTTTCTTCTTTAATCACTTTCAGGTCTTTTCCATTTGCATTTCAGTACATGAGATATCTTTTTATTAGCAATATAGGATTGACTTTTGCTATTTTTATCCATCCTCCTCCTTTTTCCTTCTTTCCCAGACATCTATCACTATTGACCCAAAGTTTGCTCCTGGCAGTGGTAGTTTACAGGAATGCAAAGTTCCCACCCACCCCATTATTCTCCTTTCATATCCAGCGTGTCTTCCTACTATGAATATGAGTGACTTGAAAAAAAGAGAAGTCGGGGAGGAGTTTCAGGGGCTGAGTCGGAAAGATGTCAAAATAGGTATTGGAAAAGGAGAGTAAAGCGTAGGTGAAGGAAGAGATGGTGGGGAAGAAAGATAGTAGAGCTTAAGATGACTCAGAGTCATTAAGAAATAGGAGAGAAAACTAAAAAATCAATGTAACCCAAGAAAGGAACAAGAATACCGTTTTGCTGGTCCACCGTCTTTTTCCAGGACAAGCCCTGTCATGAAGGGAGTTCTCAGCTAGGCAAAGGAAAATCTGAGGAAGAATGGGAGGCCTTTATACATACAGATACTCTTGCTATTTAGGTATGTCTGACTATTGCTTACCCATTAATTTATGTAAATTTTTCCCGTATTTGTAAATAGAACTAAGCTTACATTCAATTAAGAACCTTATGCACCTGTTTAAATTCGTCTACAAATCTCACATAAAGACCAAGCAATAAACCCAGAAATGCTTGTATTTAGAACATCTGGGAGGCACTAGCAGCTGTGATCTCAGGTTGGTGGTTTGAATCCACACAGACACCTACATGAACAAGCTAATGATCTGCTTCTGAAAGGTCACAGTTGTGAAAACCCCATACTGTCTTTGACACATATTTTCTGGATTCAAGGCCCTCCCAGACTAGAGATTATTTAAGGCACATGGCCTTTATTTCTACTATACTAAAACATTTATTTTGCAAAGTGTTCATTCCTACTGGTGAAAATGAGACATAGTTACAATTTTAGAGAGCGCAAAAAAAAACCCTGGAAAAATTAAGAACCCAATAAAATATCACTCCTGTCTTGTCCTAAAGGCAATCAATACTCACCTCTGGAGTAGATTCAGATTTACAGCAACTCTCCATTGGGTTTCCTAGTGGCTTAGTGGTAAGGTGTAGCACTTCTAATCCAAAAGTAGGCAGTTTGAGTCCCTAACAGCTAGCTGTGCAGGAGAAAGATGGGCAGTCTCCTGTGTGAGTCACAGCCTTTGAAAATTCACTGGCGGGTGAGCTATGAGTGGATTCTAACTCAATGGCAATTACTTTGACTTTTGAACTCTTTTCTGAAAGGGATTATCCCTTGTTTGAAGAAACTTTATTGGAGGAACTAATGGATTAGTAGTGAAACACATAAAACACCTCTGAAAGCGATATATTATGGAGCTCTGGTGGCCTAATGTGTAAGAAATTGCACTGCCAGCATAAAGGCTTATAGTTCAAATCCACCAGGTGCTCTAGAAGAGGAAGATGGCAGTCCGCCTGTGTGATTTATTGTCTCTGAAAATTCACTGGAGGGTCAACTGTGAGTTGCTTCCAACTTGATAGCACATAACAACACAAACAATAAGTTAGCCTATCTCCTTTCCCTGTATTATTGTATTTTTTAATATCATTGGGAGGATACAAAAATTTTGATGTCAGAAGTGTTTATTTGAAATAGAAATTCTAAGAACTTTAACTGAAATAGGAGTAATCATTGGTCATGGTGATGACAAGACTAGGAGTGGAAGAGAGGAGTAAGTATCATCTTTATCATACTCCTGTCTACCTACTTCTATCATAATTTGTTACTCAGTACACCATTCACTATCCAGAGCTCCGTAAGTTTAACACAATCCTTAACAGGTCTTTTCTGCTCTCTTCATTGTCTCCCCTCAACCCAAAGAATACCCTTTTTTCCTCATAAATGTCCTTCAGGGAATGCTTGGATATGGGATGCTTGGGGAAATTGCAAAACTATAGAATTATAATGATAATAGTTGATATAAATTTTTAAATTTTTAATTATAAATACATTATATAAATATGTTATAAATACACTAATAGTGGTTAGCAGCAGGGCAGAATGCCTGTGTATGAACTTATTAATGTAGAGTGTTAACAATCCAATCCATTGCCATCAAGTCAGAACTACTCACAGCTGACCCTCCAGGAGGTTTTCAGAGACTGTAAACTCCATGGGCAGAGATGGCCCATCTTTCTCCTATGAAGCAGCTGTTCTATTGGAGCCTCCTGCCTTTGGATTCACAACTGCCTTACCTACTTGGCCACCAGAGCTCCCTATATTGGGTGTAGACCTTAAATGTATCTATACCCCGCCCACATTTGTAATTGATTAATACCACCAGTCGCCCTTGAACCAGTTCAGACTCCTGGAACCCGTATGTGTATCACAAAAGAACTATGCCCCGCAGGAGTTTTTTGTGTTTTTTTTTAGTTGTGATTTGAATGAATATTTACAAAACAAATTGATTGCTGTTCAACCATTTATTCATGTGTTATTATTCACGTGTTTTTAAGATTAAATATTCACATTGTAATTTCACTTTCCCCACTTTTTTCCTGCAGTCCCTATTTCCGTGAATCCTTCCTGCCTTCTAGGCTTTATCTTTGGGAAAATGCTACTCTTTTGATCTTCTGTGTTTAGTGCTTCTAAGGAGTGAGTGCCTCTCTGGTGGTAACTGTGTAAGTCTGTCTGTTGTTTGATTGCAAGGTGAGCCACGGGTGTGGGTTTTGTTCCAGATTTGAAAGGTGACTAAGGGCATATAGTCTCAAGGGTTCCACCAGTCTCTATCAGACCAGTAAGCCTGGTCATTTTAAGTTTATAAGTTTTGTTCCACACTTCATCTCACTATGCAGGATTTACTGTGATCCCTTTTAGATGATTTAATGTCATGGCCAGATACCGTCTAGTTAAGGTCTCAGAGTCTTGGAAGTTGAGGTTTGAGTGGTCTGTTAGCCCTTTGAAATAATATTTTTTCTTTCTTCTTTGTTCTGTGTAGGGAGAGTCCAGTAGTTGCAGCTTAGATAGCTGCTTGCAAGCTTTTAATACCCAAGAAACTACTTAGCACAGTAGGATATAGAAGAATGTCTTTGTTGAATGTGTTATGCCAATATGCCTTTTTAAATAACAGTGTATATTTTATTTTATATTTTTTTGCTTATAAGGTTTGCGTACATTGTGTTTCACACTATTCTTCATTAATATTGTATTTCGTGCAATTATTCCCATGGCATTATGTTTTATAAAATTAATTACCACTCAACCTTGCCCAGCATTACTCTGTCTTCACCTGGATCCTTCCCATTTCCTTCCCCCTCTCCCTCCACCTACCAAACTGTATAACCCTGTGGTTTTCCCTTTTTACATCCTCATCCCTCCATTCCTACCCCTTTACCCCTTGGGTTTCCATATATATTTTAATAGTTATCCTTCTATTTTTACAATATCTTGATGTTCCCTAAAGCTATGGTCCCAAGGATGCACAACTCATTCTTCAGAATGTTTGTTATGACTAGGAAGCTTGCTTGGCTTTGTCTTCTGTTGACTCTGCTTTTATGTGAGTATATTTATGGCATACCCAACACGAATGTAGAACTACCATGAATGTAGGCTTACCATCTGCTAAACCTGTCATAGGTTTAGTCCTTTTCACATGTTCATAGCTGTTCGTCTTGCAGATTAATATTTATTATTGCTAATAATGCAGTATTATATGTGTTTACTTTTTGGCAGTATTTCTTGTGTACTTGTTGAATTCTTCCCTTTCTTTAGTAATATTGTTCTAATCATCCCTTTACTATCTACTTTCCCTTCAACTATCTTAATCTATGTCTTTTTATCTATTCACTGTTTTTAATTTCCTCTTCCTTCTTCCATTCCTCCGATCTCTGATAATCCTGCAAGAATGGTTTTTTTCTGCATGTAAACCTTTCTTTAGCTTTTTATAAATGTTGTTATTATGTACTACTGAGTTGCCTGTGACTCATAGCAACCCCTATGTAGAGTAACTCTCTGAATCCTGCCCTATCCTGAGCCAGTGTTACTGTCTCCGACACACCTACCCTCATTACTCCAGTTACTTTATTGTGCCAATACATCTCATTCAGGGTCTTCCTCTTTGGTGTTGTCTCTTCACCCTTCCAAACATAATGTCCTTCTCCAAGGACTGGTTCCTCTTGACCGAGTGCCCAAAGTATGTGAGACAGAGTTTCAAAATCCTGGGATCCAAGGAGAAACTTGTTTTCACCCTCTCCATTACAGATCTGTTTGTTTTCTTGGTGGTCATGGCATGTCCAAGACTCTTCTCTAGCACCACAACTAAAACGCATCGATATTTCTTCTGTCATCCATACTTACTGTCCAGCTCTCTGATACAAAGCAAGTAATTGCAAAGACCATGTATTTTTATAATACTCACAAAATATTAGTACTTTTGTGACTTTCTACCTTCACTTAGCGTAATGTTCTCTAGGTTTATCCATGTCATTCGGTGTTTTATGAATTCCTTATTGTTTTTGATGTTGCAT